CGTCAACTTAACAAAAGTCCACTTGATGGCTGGTTTCCAGGAAAAACTACCGCTGAACAAGCTCGAATAGCTGAAGATGGTGAAATAAATCCATTCACAAATAAACCTTTCAGTAAGCGATATCGTGAACTTTTAAGAGCTCGGCGAACCTTACCGGTACACGCACAAAGAAAGGAATTTCTCGATCTGGTTCATGAAAACCAATTTGTCGTATTTGTTGGTGAAACTGGTTCCGGGAAAACGACCCAGTTAGTAATATCTGTTTATACTGGATTACAATAAATGTCACTAATGTCACTAGTGGTACTAATTTATTATTTCGTTATTGACAGAATTCCGCAATTCTTATGTTACGATATACTTCCACATTTAAAGAAAAAGCAAATTGCATGTACACAGCCACGTCGAGTTGCTGCCATGTCTGTAGCTCAACGTGTAGCTGATGAAATGGACGTGAAACTTGGTGAAGAGGTCGGATACAACATCCGTTTTGAAGATTGTTCGGGGCCCAAAACTATGCTAAAGTATTTAACAGATGGTATGCTTTTGCGTGAAGCTATGAATGATCCAAATTTAGAAAAATATTCTGCTATTATTCTCGACGAGGCACACGAACGTACGCTAGCAACTGATATTCTTATGGGTTTAATGAAGCAGGTAACATATTAAAATGAAGTTTCTAAGGTTTCGCAAATGATGAATAATTTAATATTAAGCAATTTGTATTTATTTTTAGATTGCCAAAGTACGCAAAGATCTAAAGGTCATTGTAATGAGCGCTACTCTCGACGCTGACAAATTCCAAAGATATTTCAATGATGCACCGGTTCTTGTATGTTTCATTCACTTTAATGTACCATTTTATATTCCTGTGATTTTCAGAACGATAAACTAAATAGACGTAATTAATTTTTTTGTTTTAAATAGACCGTTCCGGGTAGGACCTTTCCGGTGGAGATTTATTATACACCTGAAGCTGAACGAGATTATCTTGAGGCTGCTATTCGTACTGTCATGCAAATTCATGAATATGAACCACCTGGTGACATCTTATTATTTTTGACTGGTGAAGATGAAATTGAAAATGCTTGTTTAAAGATTCGCACAGAAAATGAAGAATTGATGAAAAAATCCGATTTGGGAACGGTAAAAGTCCTCCCATTATACTCCTCGTTGCCACCTCAACAGCAACAAAGAATTTTCGAAGATGCACCACCTCCTCGTGTTAAGGATGGAAAACCCGGTCGTAAAGTTATTGTATCAACCAATATCGCAGAGACATCTCTAACTATTGATGGTATTGTCTATGTTGTTGATCCTGGCTTTAGCAAACAAAAAGTTTATAACCCTCGTATCCGCGTCGAATCGCTGCTTGTAAGCCCAATTAGTAAAGCTTCTGCTCAGCAAAGGGCTGGTCGTGCTGGTCGTACGCGTGCAGGAAAATGTTTTCGTCTTTACACTGAGAAAGCATTTCTTAAAGAATTGCAAGAACAGACATATCCTGAAATCTTAAGGAGTAATCTGGGCAGTGTAGTCCTTCAATTAAAAAAGTTGGGCATAGACGACCTTGTACATTTTGATTTTATGGATCCTCCAGGTAAATAAATAATTGATATTAGTATAACATCATAGTGTTTTGTTTATTACACTAAACTCTTGTCCATATTTGGATTCCTCTTACGAAATATAATTTAGCTCCAGAAACATTGATGCGTGCTCTTGAGCTTCTAAATTATCTTGGAGCTCTTGACGATGATGGTAATCTCACTAATGATGGAATTTTAATGGCCGAGTTCCCACTCGATCCTCAACTGGCAAAAATGTTAATAGAGAGTCCCAAGTATAAATGTTCTAATGAAATCCTTTCAATTGCTGCATTATTATCAGGTATTTATTTAATGTGATCAGATCAGATGGATTCTTTTTATTTTGAAAATATATACCTGAATATACTAACGTGTAAAAACATTCAAGTGCCAAATATTTTCGTCCGGCCTAATGAATCGAAAAAGCAAGCGGAAGATGCGAAAGGAAAATTTGCACACACTGATGGAGATCACTTAACTTTGTTGAATGTTTATCATGCTTATAAAACTAGTAAGTCATATAAAAGATGGAATTACGGATTCAATTTATTTTAATTTATTGAGGCATAATAATCTCTTTTATTTGGCAGATATAAATGAACCGGAATGGTGTTATAACAATTATCTCAGTGCTCGATCTTTGAAATCGGCTGACAATGTCCGTCAGCAACTCAAGCGTATTATGGAACGTTGTGACCAAGATTTGATCAGCACATCATTTGAAGACAGAAGTTATTATACAAACATTAGGCAAGCTTTGACAGCAGGATTCTTTATGCAAGTTGCACATTTGGAGAAATCCGGCCATTATTTGACATGTAAAGATAATCAGGTAAATTTTAATCAACGTAAATCTAATTTATTAATAATTAGGTAGTTCTAATTATTGTAATGTTAATTGTTATTATACTACATCAGATTGTTCAACTTCACCCATCTTCGTCTCTTGGGCATCAACCTGAATGGGTCTTGTATAATGAATTTGTTCTTACGACAAAGAATTATATCCGCACTGTAACCGAAGTAAAAGCTGATTGGTAAATAATCGGCATCAACAATAGTGTGAATCTTATAAATTGCAAACATTAATCTTTATCTTTATTATAGGCTTTTGGATATTGCACCGATTTATTATGATCTTCGAAATTTCCCTAATTGTGAGGGAAAGAGAGTTTTAGAAAAACATTTAACTAGAAGGGCTAGAAACAAGAAGTAGAACTGCAAGGTAATCCGTTTAAAAAACATAAACGGAATTTGTTTATTTATTTTGACAAGACGCAATGACGTCTTATTTTTACATTGTTTTGTTGCGATACTAATAATGCTTCCTGTCCAATGAACTATTGTTAATGAAAATGATACACACCATTTAGCACAAAAGTGTTTGATAAAATAACGCAATGTTTAAATTGATAGAGCAAAGCTTAGTTAATAAAATTTAGGTTTTTTTAGAAGATATCTAACTTTAGGCTTTTCAATCGTTATCACCAAACGGTACACTTCAACTTCAAATACGCATCAAATATTCAAATCGTATTTAAGGTAGGTTGATATTTGAACATTATTTTCGCTTAAAAAATAACTACCTTCATACAATCTAAAGGTTGATAAGCCATAAAACGCATATGTAAGCGTTATTATTTGAGAAAGAAACTCCATTTTTTGATAGAGAATAGTTTTCTTCATCGATATTGCATTTATTTCGGCTGTATTTTGAGTAATTTTATCTTTACTTTTTTAAAACTTCATTAATAAAGCATCAAAAGGATGATACCTTTTCATTTTGATATATAAATGATTTTGCGACTTTATTTTTCTTGGTAATAATTGAGTGTACATATTCTGATAGATATTGGCTACTAGTGCCAGTCATTTTTATCAAGTTTACGCTAATATAATTTAAACTGAGCAAACGATAACTGATAAGATTTTATAAATTCATACATATATATAGGGTTACGTTTTTTTTGAATATCTGTTACCGATGTTACAAATTATTCATAAGACAATTACATTTTGTTTGTTTTTAAAAAATGAGTTCACAACATTTTATTCCTCCATTGGTAATGTTTTTGGAATCAAACGTGTCATACAAAAGACATATTAAATAAATAATTCTTTATATATGCACTTTGTTGAATTCACAGAATTATGGCATGATTGAAGAAGACCTGTATAGATCAGGTCAACCGAACGAATTAAATTTTCCATTTTTAGAGAAACTTGGGCTAAAGACGGTGGTATGGCTTGCCTCTGAAGAACCAAATCAAAGATTGTAAGCCTTTCTAACTTTAGAATTATAAACTTTTATCGCCTTTATAATAAAGTTGATAAAATTTTATAAAGTTTAGATTTCATCGATGATCAAGAAATTCAATTTCACAATCTTGGCAATGTTGGCGGAATGTCTTCAGTAAGTGCTTGGGATCCTATTACTGAAGAGGTTGTCTTGGAAGCATTAGAACATATTCTGAATCCACATAATTATCCAATGATCGTGATGTGTAATTTAGGAAGGCATAGGACAGGTATTTTATACACACTATACCACATTATACCACATTATACTAACGTGTAAAATAATTTTCATGAAAAAAAGGTACAATTGTAGGATGTTTGCGTAAACTTCAAAAATGGAATTTAACATCAATATTCGAAGAATATCGTCGCTATGCAGGACCAAAAGTTAGAGTTTTAAATGAACAATTTATTGAGTTATTTGACACCGATTTAGTCAGAGTTCCTATGAACAGGCCTAAATGGTTGTGAGAGAAAAAACTAATAGATTTATTTTTTATATTATTATATAGCACGATTATTTATTAAGATTTAGTCAAATGATAATGAGAAACTTTTTTTTTTTTGATAATTTGTAATTTTATTTTTTCATTAACATTTAATCAAAATTGGCATCAATTTATTAATGAAAATAAAAAAGTACCAATGATACAAACGAAACATTTGTTCTTCCAATGCTTTTAAGTCAGAACCAGAAGAATAAAGTTAATATATCAAAGGGTTAGAAAAAAAGAATTACTGCTCCTGTCGCCCAGAAAACGAACATGAGTGATGATAATATATAATAAGGGGAAGGGGTTTAAACTAATGGCAAAAATTGAAATATAGGAAGGTCGAAGAGAAGAAAAGGGAATAAAATAATAGATTTAGTATAAAAAAAAACAAAGGGCATGGGACATGGAAGCATAGAATATTAATGATAAGAACATGTCAGAAATAAAAAATGATATTTGTAAAACATACCATATAAAAATGTTGCATACAAGAAACTAAAGTACTACTACTACAAAGAAATATTTAATTACACAGAAACTATTTAAATGCCTCCTGTGATGTCAAATAATTAACACTTTTTTTTTTCTTTTTTTTTCTTTTTTTTTTTTTTAATAGAAATAATTAAGCGGCAGTTTCTTTCTTCTCATCAGAGGAAGCAGCAGGCGCTTCCGTCTTTTCAGCATCATCACCAGGTTGAATATGTTGCTCACTTAACGCAACTTTAATGACCAAATCTCTACCTTCGGACGTGGCGGTTTTTAACCCTTCTAAGGCTTTCTTTTGTTCTTCTTCGTCAGTAAAAGTGACGAAACCAAAACCTTTTGAACGGCCACCACGACGACGAACAACGTGCGCATTAGCGACGTTATAATCTTTAAAAATTTCTTTCAGGCCATCATCATTAATTGAGAAAGGTAGATTGGCAACGAATACAATCGTTTTAGATGGTTCACCAGTTTTAACAGCGCCAGCTGTTTGATTGGAATTAAAATTAGCAGAACGACGACGAGATTGAATACGACCACCACGACCACGCCCGCGACCACGACCACGACGATGGAATCTACCACGACCTTTGTGATGGATATCATGATCACCATTTGGGGCATCAGAGGGAACAATGGCAGTATCGCCATCATTGCCGTCATCGCCACGGTTGAATCGACGACGACCTTGCTAGTGTAATAGAAAAAAAAATTATATAAAATATTAATATTAATGATATTTATAATGATATTTAATCATTAAATAAATATTTACCCAGCTACCGCGACCTCTGCCCCGTCCACGACCCCTACCGCGTCCACGACCCCTACCACGAAATCTTCCACGTCCACGACGCGAACCAGGACCATGGTAGGAATGACCAGGATTAGAAGTAGGAGCGGTGGTATTTTCCTTAGGCTTGGCAACTTCTACATTGATTTGACGGCCATCCAATTCTTTTTTATTAAGTTCTTCAACGACTTTATTCGCATCCTCCTCAGTTTCAAGAGCAACGAAACCATAACCAAGGGAACGCGTTCCGCGAGTAATGATATTAGCCTTAATACTAAATTAATTAATTAATTAATTAATTAATTAATTAATTAATTGAATATATAATATAATAAGAATTAGATAAATATATAGACACAATTTCAATTTAAACTTTGAACGACAGATATCAATTTTAGAAACTCAGACAATAAACATAATATATATGCTATAAGAATTTCAACTTACACTTTACCGGTCTTATTAAAAAAGTCGGCTAATTGTTGTTCACTGGTTTGGAAAGCCAAATTTCCAACAAATACTTTAAAACCAGGTTCTTCTTGAACTTTTTCCTCTTTAGTAGTGACAGCTTCTTCCGAGTCATTTTCAACAGGTTCAGAGGCAGTCACAGCCACAGAGTCATCGCGGGTAGCGGATTCGTCGGCCATTATTTAATATATGAATGTATATATGTAAAAAAAAATTTATAATAGTACGTATATAAAAAAAAATTCTTTAAGCACGACCGTAATAGTTTTTGGAGGACTTTTTTTTTTAAATAACTTTTTAAGGTTGGGGTCAGATGTGATTGATGTAAAGTTCGTTTAGGTCGTTAAAGAAAAATGGTCACTTCACACCTCCAACAAGCTGGACACTGGTGAAGGAGAAACTCTAAATTCTAATATAGATGCCTGTTAGGACTAGACGGACTGTAGGCAATAGGTCCACTAAAGGGCAGGACGGAAGGTAGGTTTAACTTCGACGGATAGAACAGATGCTTCGTTTTGCTTTCAAGTATGGCTTGAAAAGACTAGGTAGTGAGACAAAGAACAGAACCATCACCAAGATATACCATCTGCCAATACTTGTGAAACAATTGTGAAACCGACTATTCACCATGAGGCGATGGCGTTTCCAAATGTGCATTTTACAAAAATCCAAAATTTAGTCAACGAATTTAACCAATTGTTGTTGTTACGGAGATGCATGAGAATATTTTGCGAATATAGCCTAAAAGGATATGTGTGAATGAAAATAATCGGGACACAATTAGATTTTCCGTAGTTTTTAAAAAAGAAAGTTCTGGTGGAACTCATAGTAAAGAGTTTCTTAAAACAAATGAAATTTCCTTTGACGGTTATCACGTGACATAGTTCGGCGTTCGCCGTTCCTTTAATTCGGTAAAATCAAAAATAAGCAAACAGAAAAAAACAGAACATAATTGTTAACCAAGTAAGTCATACTTAGTAAGTCATGAAAATAACAAATATATCTGATACGTATACAATATGCTAGGTAACTTTAACACAAAATGAAGTATTAAATGAAAGTATTTTGTGCTTTATTTTTTCATAACCTTTTAAACATAAATAGAATTAAAAGAAATTTCGATTTTTTTATTTATATGTATTCTACCATAACTTATCCATTACTTTCAAACTAGCTTCGTATCCCATGAAAGCCGCAGCATTTGCAGGAAAAGCTCTTAATAACGCAGGACCGAGACCCTTAAACAAAGCAGATGGACCATCCGTTTTAAGTAAGTGACGTAACACATCCATAAAACCCTTATATTGACCAGCAGGAGCCGATTGAAGGCGTGACTTAACAACATCAGGTGGAATACAAATTGTCCACATAGCGACACCAGCCATACCTGGATATTATTAATAATTAGAGAAATCCAAAATATAATATTATAACGATAAAAAGATTTTTTAAACTTACCACCAGCAAATAAGACAGCAGCAGGATTCAAAGTAGAATCAGAAGATGTTAAAAGTTTTTTTGTAAATTCATAAGCACCAAAATAGGCAGCAGATCCTGGAAAATCACGGAGAAACGTAGCACTAGTTCCGCGAAAAATACTACGCAAACCACCTTCTTTATAAAGATGGCGTATTACATCGAGCGGACCCTTGTATTTAACATCACCACCCTGACCTTGGATTTGTAATAACACTTTAATCCTTTCAACTGGAGCCATTACTAATGTAGTTGGACCAGCAGATATACCACCAGCAATTGTGCATTCCAGTGTACTGAGCTCTCGTGATTTACGGTTTGGAGTAAAAGCATATACGATATTTTTACCGAGATTATAAGACTATGTATTATGAAGTATTAATTATATTAATTATATTAATTAATTATATTAATTATTATGCAAACCCACCCAAAAGCTTATTGCGAAAATCGGGGTTATGCCGGCTAATGGAGGACCCATACCACGATATAAACTGGATCAACATTAGAAATATTAATGATGACAGATTTTAAATAGAAAATGATTGACCATGTAACTTACCCACGTAGTCCATCCTTTGCAATTGTTTTTTTTACTACATCAATCGTGCCAGTGTATGTCCCTTCAGGAGCGGTTTGTAATCGTACCTAATTTACAATATACCTTTTATATAAATTTTCTACTTAAGTCTATTAAAGAAACTCCGTAGTAAGATACAAACTTTGACCAAATCAAATGGATGTCCTTATTTGAAAAACAATAAATAGTTGGAGTGATTGAAATCAATATTTGAGCATTCCTGTGGTGCATTTTGCATCTATATACCGATATTTTTGATATATACCGACAAGCACAGCTGACATTCCACCAAACCCTCCTGCTAGGAACGACTTTACACCGCTAGTTGTCCCTTTTTTTTCGACCAGTTTTTGTTCATTCGGTTTGTGTTCAAGAGGTTCAACCTCTATACCAGTGGTAGAAACGTCCGTCGCCATTATAACTTGGTTTCGAAACTCTTAAAACACCGGTAAAAAAAACTCCAATCGTGTAACCTTATATGTTTATTGAACAAGATAAAGTTGGCATGCCTACGTACGTGCGTACGTGTATCAAAAAAACCTGAAATCTTTTTTTTCGTGGTACAAATTTTATATGAACCTATTAAAAGTGATCTTTCTATTTGTTTATTAGTTTAGTATTGCACACCGTTTATATTTGATCTTTAGCGAACATTCGCATGAAACTATAATCTGTACTCTGCTTGTGGCCACGTGATGATAATCGGTAACATTCATTCAATGAACTGATGCAAGTTTATGCATGCATACAAATTCATATATTACGAATTCATACTGACTGATCTTTAAGTTTTGTCAATGTTCATTATACAAGTAGTTCTCAATAATAGGAAATCTCTGATATAGGCGACGGAAAGGGAAAAACCTTTTACCAGATTCAACCCTAATAAAATTGATCTCAATGATTAAATGTAACCAAATACTATCCCTTACACTGTTCCACCATCATCATAATGATAGGAGGACATTCATGTGATTTATGATCAAAAAATTCTGAATTGCGAACATTACTTTTTATTTACTATATTCTAATGGCAATTCTACGTACACTATTTTCGGTCATCACAACATTTATGAAAGTTGCGTCTTAAGTTCACATAACCAATGAAACAACACTATATATATATGATTATTTTACAATAAATTCATACGCAAGTTATATAGTTAAGTATTAAACTAATTATTGTTAAAATAATGAATTAGACAATATAAACTATATTTCTTAAGATTAAAACTTATTCATTTTTTCTAGCCGTCTGTTATTGGAATTTATAACATAATAAATAAGTAATGAATACGTAATAGAACATTCACTTTTAATTGAAGTTCGATTATTTTATGTACACAATGAATACTCATGTTCTTACGATGCGTTTTTTATTAGTGAAACGTTACGTTCTCAAAAAAGTACTTTAAAAGTTACCCGGGCAATTGATTTACATCGGCCAATCATACGAATATTCTTCTATGACCCGAACGAATTATGAAATAACACGCGCTTTATATGTATTTGCGAAAATAACACGTACTTGATTCTTGATACAGTATAACCTCAATATGTATATGCATTTCTATCTTTTAAACAACTTTACTTAAATTATTATTATTGATTAACTTAATAGAATTTTAAATTTTATTAAGTTAATCAATAATAATAATCTAAGCAAAGTTATTTAAAAAACAAAATTACATATATTTTGAGATTTTGAAATAATTTAAATAAAATTTTATTAATATATTTTTATTTTTTATGTTCAAGTTTAAAACTTTTTAATTTGATTTTTTTTGCTTAAATGTAAATTGTCAAAGTATAATAATAATATGTTATTTAAATTATTTCAAAATTTTAAAATATATATAATTTTTTTTTAAACAATGTTATATAGAACATTATTATTAATTTATTTTATATAATTTTAATTTTAAAGAGGTGTGGCGTTCTAGTGAAGTGGTCAGGTTGTTAACCTTCTAAGTGGTAAGTTGGGTGTTCAAATTCTATTGACAGTGAAAATTTGAATAATCGCTTATGTAACATTCATATTATGGCAATTGTTACTAACAATTGGATTAGGATATTTGTAATAATAGTCACATTAGCATGACTGGTAGGTCATGAGGTATTTGTATAATTAGTTATATAAAAGAATACAAATTAATAAATCAAATGATATAAACACTAGATAAGTTTTTGTAATTATATAAATTCATTAAAATTAGGTAACAAAAAGTTTATTTAAAAAGACTTAAATAAAAAAATAATCAGATTTTCAATAGTCTTACTATAAAGGTTAATTTGAAAAAACAAATTTTTTTTTTTTTTTTTTTTTTACTTTCACTAAGGCCATTAGTTACAATGACTACTGCCTTTATTGTGAATTCAATTATGATTACATAACTTGTACAAGGTTATTTCTATATTACACTAGCAGATAGCAGCATAAGTTCCTGTACACCTAATTAGATACCATCTAACCTAATCTTGACTTTTCTGTCTGTATGTTTGTTAGACTGTTACACATTTCAGAATACGTCACCTGACTATAGGGCTCAGAAGGTCCTCTTGCTAACTAACTACCCATATTTAATCTTTGCTAACAGGGCTTGCCTTTGCAGAGTTCATCCAAACCTCAGTACTGACTTCATAGCATATTTCTAGTACTTTAGTATACCCTTGTTTCCAACCTTAGATTCCTAAACCAGCTAGCCTGGTAGGACTGTGACCTATTCCTGGTATCTTAGGGTCTGCCCTTCAAGGTTTTTTCCTCTGATTCAAGACTTCCAGTGGCCTGATTGGTAGTACCTCTTACCTGAGGTTCTTGCCCATCTGATTCCTTCTACATTGGTATCTGTTTCCTAGATCTAGCCTTTACAATAGTACTGTCAAAGATCTGTGTTACCTCTCTACTTGGGTCTTCTCAAGTGGGCTTCAGTCATCCTAGTTCACAGATTTACATGACCACAGATACCCTATAATCTGTCAGTTATCTGATGTGATCATGTTACAGATATTGATTCCAACTGATCGATAGATAGCTGTTGTCATATTATCAGTTTCAAGGACTTATCTTGTGTTTGCACTGTCTAATGCTGATTTGCATTTTACTGTGTAATTTTAGCATTATACAGATGCCTGTATACACTGATGTAACATAGATGGTTTTTTAAATTTTTATTGTCAGTGGATTTTGAACTCCTAACCTACCACTTGAAGGGTTGATAACTTATCTATTTCACTAAGTTACCATATCCTTTTGAAAAAACAAATATTAAAATTATAGTACTTGATTGTAATACCTAAATAGACAAAAATCTTCAGATTAAAAGTTTTAAAATTATCATCAATCAGGCTATTAGAATAAATAAAAAAAAAGGATATTAGACTGATTTAATATACTGATAAACTGATTATAGTCTTATATAAATTATCTGAATTGGAAATCTAAATAAAAGACTGAACAAAAAGCAGAAAAATATTAAACTATTAAAATTATGTTGTGAAGTAGATATTAAAATTTGTAAACTCTATAAGTGCATAATAGTTAAATAATATAACTTTGATTACAAGTATTAATTCTGTTATAGTAATATTTAGATTAGCTATAAAAATGAATACAGAAGGTTTTAAAAATTTATTTCAAAAATAAAATAGTTCTAAGATTAAAACAATAATCTGAATATTTGAATATAATCTAGTAATGTTAATACAGACTATAGATTTAAAGAATTTAAAGTAAAACATCTAAGCAAGAATATTAGATATAATAATTAGTAAAAAATCTTTAAGTAAACTCTTTAAATAGGTAATATACAAAAGTTATATATATAGTTAATTGTATACTTTTCTGTAATGATTCATTGAATCACATTATCAAAAAAATTATTAATAAAAGTTAAAAGACTAAAGAGATCATCTTAATATTAAAAAAAAATATTTAACTTTATTATATAAATATAATATTTAAATTTAAAAATGATGGGGTTGGGCTCCATAGCTTAATTGTTAAGCTGCCAACTCCCCACAGACAAGGTCAATGGTTCAAGTCGGGCTAGAGGCAAAATCCAAGGATTTTAACTCTATAACCTAATATAGAAGCCAAATTGGATGCGAAGCCCTATGGTAAGTCCCAAGGTGAAGTACAAGAATAGATTAGAAATTCCCGAAAGGAGATCAACTCTGCAGAGAGAAGGCACTATGTGTGATAGCGGCGTTACAGAAGGTTCTACTACTAAAAAAGTGTTGCGCGGGTAAGTCCTATCGAGACGAGGCAGCACCAACATTTCTGTATTCAACTTGCAGAGATTTGATTGGAAGGGTAATACTAATGTGGTAAAAACTGGAGTAGTGAGTGAAGCGGTACATGCAAAGAAGATCTGTAACAAAGGATTGGTCTAACCAAAATTGGAATATCTTAGGCAGGTACTATAAACCCTTAAGAAGCAAACAATAGTTATACATTACAACATCATTGATGGTTACCATGCTCGTATATAATAAGTCAAGATTCCAGGCCCCCTTGCAATACCAAATTGGAAGTACAATAGTACTACAACTATGGGAGTACTCAAAAAAGAGTACATGGTAGCTGCAGATGATAATCCAGAATCTCGATAAATCCAGCCATGCTGATTGGTACCAATACATAGAGGGCTGTGTATACCAAATTGGTAGCAAGAAGAGCAAGAAACTGCTGGAGTCAACCAATTTGGAAGAAGGGATGAGTTACTGCAGGAAGTAGATAGGGGGACTATAGTTAGATAGAATTAGGGAATATAGTATTACAAGGTGGCTACAACCTTACCTTAATTAGTAACAATAGTTGAAACACTAAGGTACTAGTCTTAATTTAGGAAAGTGTAGATATAATGTCACGTTGGGTGTTTATATAGTAATATAGTAGCACAAATAGAATGTAATAACTCTAATATATTAATCTGGCATTAATTAAATAAAGTATTACAATTGGCATTATAAAAAAAAAAAAAAAAAAAAAAAAAAAAATCAAAATAATTAAACTTCTTTAATAAGATAAATTCTAGTTTTTCTTTATAATTGAATAACTTTGAGTATGACATCTGTTTGAAAATTTTGCTAGATTGTTTGTATCTTTGTATACACTTTTAATTCCACAAAGATGAATGTTTTGAAATTATTTTATTACTAAGAACTGTTTAAATTTATCAGTTTCTTTCATAAAAGCATCAACCATTTCTGAGAATACAAGCTTTTTGTTGAATAGTTTTGCATCTTAGAATATATAACCTTTGGCACTATAAAAGTTTTTAGAAAAAAAATAATTAGGTGAACTTTTATTATATTTTAATTTAAACTTATGACTTGCATAATGTTTTTTATATTTAGTATTATGTCAAATAATATTTTTTCATATTTTAATATTATAATATGAATATCACAATCT